TTCTTAAGATCATGTTTAAACTCACAAAAGGGAATTTTCCTTCCGTCAGTAATCACTTGTGTTGTTCAATAAGCAGAAAACATGTCACAATTTGACTCTTAACCACTAAATTTGTTGTTTCATCACTGGTTGGTCAGACCAGTCTCTTTATTTTCTTTGAAGTTAAGTTGTTGTCCTGCAACCCAGAGAGTTTATTTGTTAGTAGTAGATAAACTTCACCATTTGACAACAAGTGTATGTTAAGTTTCCCTGTTTCAACCTTGCTGAAAAATCTTCACGTGTTCATGAGTGTAAGCTGCTCTTCATTGCATGTGTGTGCGTTTGTAGGCAGGTTCATTTTATGTGTGTTCAGTGGAGCTGCAGATCCAGCAAAGTCTCTCTCTGCCTTAGCTTTTTTTTTCTTTTTTCAAACAAGGCGTTTCCTTAAAAATTTCTCTGCTTGTGTGTGTTTTTGTTTCACCTTTTGTTGCGATGCTCCGGACGCCTTCCCAAACTCCACAAGTCCGTTGGCCCCAAATTTCAACCCAATTTTATGTGTTACAGCTTCTCTTAATTTCTCCTCTAATTCTCTCCTCGCTGCTGTCTTTTCCACAGCTGCTGATTCGTGCTGGGTGTGGTTCCCATTACTATAATTTTGCTTCGGCCGCTGTGCTTGTGGTGGGGGGTTGGTCCAGGCCCGTAGCCACTTGTATTAACACACTAAGAGATTTATTTAATATCATTTTCATCACTGTTAAATAGACAAGCAGGCAACACGCCCAGCTTTACAGCGCGCCAGTCTCACAACACATTCCTCTCGCTGCTTCTAAATAATTCTCCACTCTCCCTTTATTTCTCCATTTCTCCACATCAGATTTAAAACCCAACATATTTCACACCACTACTTACCTCTCACCTTTTTTTTGTTTTACACCACAGAGTATTGCACCCAATTACGCCTGTCTATCTTTATGTGGCTCTAAATTACCCTCTTTTCTCTCTTCTTTTCTTTCTTATTTTAATTTTACACACTCGTCAGGGGACAGGCACAAAGCAATCAACAATTTCTACCACTGAAGCGAGTGATTCAACCTTTTTACCTATGATAGAACTCAACCTTAGATGTCAAAATATCCTCTTGTTCTATTCCAGAATAAATGTAAAACCGTGATTACACAGCAGTTTCAGTGTTATTCTGTAGCTAATGCGGGAGTCCTCAGTTCCCAAGTTGCCACCTCAGCTAACCAAAGGGGGGTTGCCACACCATGAACAAGCTTTTTAGGGGTTCCACTCCCAAGGTTGCTACCCTAGTTACCTCCGGGCCATGTCCGATTTACCGGTTGGGAAACCACTCCCGGAACTAATCCACGAGGTCCAGGCGTCAACCTTTGATCATAAAATATTTTCTTCGCACTAGTGTCCTCCAATTCACACATCAACCGCCACTGTCACCATGTTCATATTTAACGCACTGAAACACAGAGAGTGCGTCTCGCACGCAGAAACACACACAGAAACCTCTGAGCTCAAGTTTCACAGTTTCTTGCCACAAAAGCCAGTCATAGACAAAGTTAAATGTGGAATGTAATGTGCGCTACAACTCTAGTCTCAACATAGAATGTTTTTAGTTTCTTGCTAGAGCCAGTACCTATGACACACTTCAGCCTCAACTTATGATGTTAGTATCTCGCGCCGAAAACCAGACAGCGACAAAATTGAATGTGAAAATACGTGTAACGCAGCGAACAGATTAATTTGGCAAACAGTCAGAGCTCTTTTGAGCCAACCATCCCTTTAACGTTAACTAGTAATGACTTCATGAACTTCTTCACAAATAAAATTTTTATCATTAGAGAAAAAATTACCAGTAATCATCCCACAGATGTAATATTATCCTACAGCTACTCTTAGTACCATTGATGTTAAGTTAGACTCTTTTTCTCCAATTGATCTTTCTGAGTTAACTTCAATAATTACTTCCTCCAAACCATCAACGTGTCTTTTAGACCCCATTCCTACAAAACTGCTCAAAGAAGTCCTGCCATTAATTAATTCTTCGATCTTAAATATGATCAACCTATCTCTAATGATCGGCTATGTACCACAGGCCTTCAAGCTGGCTGTAGTTAAACCTTTACTCAAAAAGCATCTCTAGACCCAGCAGTCTTAGCTAATTATAGGCCAATCTCCAACCTTCCTTTCATATCAAACATCCTTGAAAGAGTAGTTGTCAAACAGCTAACAGATCATCTGCAGAGGTTTATTTGAAGAGTTTCAGTCAGGTTTCAGAGCTCAGCACAGAAACAGCTTTAGTGAAGGTTACAAATGATCTTCTTATGGCCTCTGACAGTGGACTCATCTCTGTGCTTGTCCTGCTAGACCTTAGTGCAGCGTTCGATACTGTTGACCATAATATCCTATTAGAGCGATTAGAACATGCTGTAGGTATTACAGGTACTGCGCTGCAGTGGTTTGTATCATATCTATCTAATAGACTCCAATTTGTGCATGTAAATGGAGAGTCCTCTTCACACACTGAGGTTAATTATGGAGTTCCACAGGGTTCAGTGCTAGGACCAATTCTGTTTACATTATACATGCTTCCCTTAGGCAGCATCATTAGAAGACATAGCATACATTTTCACTGCTATGCTGATGACACCCAGCTCTATCTGTCCATGAAGCCAGATAACACACACCAATTAGTTAAACTGCAGGAATGTCTTAAAGACATAAAGACCTGGATGGCCGCTAACTTTCTGCTTCTTAATTCAGATAAAACTGAGGTTATTGTACTCGGCCCTGAAAAGCTTAGAAATATGGTATCTAACCAGATTCTTACTCTGGATGGCATTACCTTGGCCTCCAGTAACGCTGTGAGGAACCTTGGAGTCATTTTTGACCAGGACATGTCCTTCAACGCACATATTAAACAAATATGTAAGACTGCTTTCTTCCATTTGCGCAACATCTCTAAAGTTAGAAATATCCTGTCTCAGAGTGACGCTGAAAAACTAGTTCATGCATTTATTACTTCCAGGCTGGACGACTGTAATTCATTATTATCAGGATGTCCAAAAAACTCGCTGAAAAGCCTTCAGCTAATCCAAAATGCTGCAGCAAGAGTCCTGACAGGGACTAGAAAGAGAGAGCATATTTCTCCTGTTTTGGCTTCCCTTCATTGGCTTCCTGTTAAATCCAGAATTGAATTCAAAATCCTGCTCCTCACATACAAGGTCTTAAATAATCAGGCCCCATCTTATCTTAATGACCTTGTAGTACCATATCACCCTATTAGAGCACTTCGCTCTCGCTCTGCAGGCCTACTTGTTGTTCCTAGAGTATTTAAAAGTAGAATGGGAGGCAGAGCCTTCAGTTTTCAGGCCCCTCTTCTGTGGAACCAGCTTCCAGTTTGGATTCGGGAGACAGACACTATCTCTACTTTTAAGATTAGGCTTCAAACTTTCCTTTTTGCTAAAGCATATAGTTAGGGCTGGACCAGGTGACCCTGAATCCTCCCTTAGTTATGCTGCAATAGACGTAGGCTGCTGGGGATTCCCATGATGCATTGAGTTTTTCCTTTCCAGTCACCTTTCTCACTCACTATGTATTAACAGACCTCTCTGCATTGAATCATATCTGTTATTAACCTCTGTCTCTCTTCCACAGCATGTCTTTATCCTGTCTTCCTTCTTTCCTTTCTTTCCTGCTCTTGACTAAGGCGGTCACACTTTTCTCCTCTCCCTTAGCTTCCCTGCTTAGCCTCTTGTGTCCTTGTCTAGTCTCGTTTTTTTGTATTACTTTTCCCTGGAACACTCTCTCACAGTCTGTTCTCTAAAACCTAAAAGAGGAATTATTGATGTGATCAACTGGTCCCTGAATGCTATTGACACCCTTTTCTCAACGAGACATCTGGGCTTGGGTGAGCCTGAGTGCATGAAGATATCTACATATTCGGAACCATTATAACAGGGTTCTTGCTGATCGGAGCTGGCTTGGCCCTGACTTATCGAAGAATTGAGGAAGTGGAACCAGCTGTTCAAACCCCCACAAGGCTGCCCGCTGGGATTGAAATGATGGGACGAGGCGTGAGTTTCTCAAAATGGGCTCATTGAGTGCAGCACGGATAAGTTCTTGGAGAAGCTTACGGCTGCCGTGAATACTCGGAATAACACCTCTGAGCGCAAACTGGATGACAGCTTGGGGAGGCTCACTGTGGTCGTGAGTTCTCAGAATCGGCTCTTTGAGCACAAGAATGACAACATCACGGAGCGTAAGTTTGATAACATCATGGAGAAGCTCACGGCTCTCCAACGGGAGATTGAGAGACCAGTGTTGGACTGTTAGAACAGCTTTGAAATTCATATGAGTTGTTCGCACTAAAGTAAAAACCACCATCACTTCATGCAGAGACCCTCTCGGCGCCAGCTGCGGCCTCAAGGCTGGAGCTGAACAAAACACCCTGATAACGACTGTGTTGAGGCTGTTCTTCCCACTACTTAACCTGGCAGGGCGAAGGACACTGTCTCAGTTGAACTCTGGACACATACACACATACGCACACAGACATATATAGACATGCAGATGTGCACTCATCCCCCCTCCCCTCCAAACGCCTTCGATGCTTATTCCCCTCCGATGCTGACGGTGGATCGTGGAGACCAGCGCATATGCTGCAGGCCCGGATGTACTGTCTACACTGGCTGTCTCTCACGCTTTACCCACCCCTGTTGCTTGTCATGTGATTCTTTGGTGTATTAAGAGTTTTTAAAAGAGAGTTTTTCTTTCCCACTGTCGCCAAAGTGCTTGCTCATAGGGGGTCATATGATTGTTGGGTTTTTCTCTGTATCTGTTATTGTACGATCTACTGTACAATATAAAGCGCCTTGAGGCGACTACTGTTGTGATGCAATTTAAATGCCAATATAACTTACTCAAATTCAGTTTCTGATGGCACAAAGTTCTGCCCAAATGACTGTGATTTGGTTTGTGAGACAATCCCACAGCATGCAGTGAATTTTTATTTCTGTGTCCTCAGTTTCCCAGCATGCCCTGGCTGTGGTAGTGGAGGTGAATGAAGGGGAACAATCTGTCCTGCTGCCCTGTCAGTTCTCAGGTATTATACCTGAGTACCCTGCAGTGATTTGGACTCGGAGTGATCTTCATCCCAAATCTGTCCACCTACAGCGAGAAGGAAGAGATGATTTTGGAGGGCAAAACCAGCGTTACAGCGGGCGCACATCAATGAGGCCTGATGCTCTGGACACTGGAGACTTCAGCCTCACTCTGAGGAAACCAACAAAGACTGACAGTGGCAACTACACCTGCTCCATCAGTGATGGGAGAGAAGAGCTGAGAGTGACAGATATACAGCTGCAGGTCAAAGGTCAACAACAAACCCAGAATGCATACACAGTAAAACCTGACATTCAATAGGCTTAACAGAAGAATTTGAATGGTGATTTGAAATTGTAGGTACTGGTGTGAAAATAGTGTTTTTAAGGCTAGAAATAGTTGAGTCATTTAAAAGTTTCATCCAGTTAGTAGATGTGAAAAAGAGTCTCAGGTTGGGATCCATCGCCTTTGGATATGTCCATGAAAGTATCAAAGAGCAATGGATATGACAGTGGAGGTGGGAATTAATGAAGCTCAAAGACTTTATTACCGTACTTAAGTAGAACTTTTTGATATCTTTACTTTGAGTATTTACTTTCTGATCATTTTTTAATTTAGTTTAGGTATCTTGGGGTCTTGTTCAGTAGTCAGGGGAGGGAGAGATCGACAGACGGATTACTGCTGTGGTTGCAGCGATTTGGATGCTGTGCCTGTCCAACATGATGAAGAGAGAGCTGAGCACAAAAACGAAGCTCTTGAATTACTGGTCGATTGTCATTGCTACCCTCACCTATGGTCATGAGCTGTGGGTAGTGACCGAAAGAACAAGATTGCAGATACAAGTGGCAGAAATGGGATTCCTCTGAAGGGTGAGGAGTTCGTCCAGCCAGGAGAGGCTCAGAGTAGTATTTGGGTTATTCTCTGGACAGAGAAAGAGGACAAGGAGACTGAGTGGTGGAATAGGATAGTTATAGGGATGAGGAAAGTAGACAGGCATGCTGGGAGGGTACGGGTAGAACCAAGAGTGAGTTTACTGTCAGGCTGAACACAATTGAAGGAGAAAAGTACTTTATCGACTGGCTAGGCAGAGAGCTCAAATGATATACAGTCTGTTTGGGTAATTAAGGACATAGATGGGAATGTACTGATGGGTTGAAAAGATGGAAGCAGTACTTGCTCCATCATGTTCCAGTTACCACCACTATTATACTGCACTGTTTTTTGTAGTTGATAATGTGTTTCTTGTCCTCATAGACGACCAAGAGGAGGTGACAACATGGAAAATGTCAGACTTCATCATTCTACCCTGCAAAACAAATCTTGTGCTGCCTGAGGACACCACAGTGGAGTGGACTCATGCTGACCTAGTGGTTTATGTCTATTCAAAGAGAAGTGACCACCTTAAGAAACAGGATGGACTTTACAGAGACCGAACGAAGATGAACGAAGACCTGCTGAGAACTGGAGACCTCAGTCTGACCCTGAAACAGCCCACAGATGGAGACAGTGGAGGATACATCTGCACCATCTACAGGGACAAAGACATCCTGAGACAGAAAGTAGTGCTGCAGGTCAAAGGTCAGAGATGTAGATAAAGGTCAGATGTTAATGTTGTAGATTTAGGCAGGGCTGGACTGGGACAAAAAATCGGCCCGGGCATTTTGACTAGAGACCGGCCCACCAAAAATGTGACGTCATTCAGGGGTAAAACCGCAAAGGATTCTGGGAACTTGTGGCAAGAGGTACTAGCGCATGCAGGCTTTCAATTGAACTCAGTTACACAGCGATAAAAAGAAACACAAAAAATGGCAAGAAGCTGTTGTATTATTAACTGCAATAGCCGGTGTTGTGCCAAAAAGTGATTGTCTGCCAAAAACTGATTGCTCGTATTTAAATTGCTATAAGTAACTTGTTGGGCTATAATATGTGAAACATATGTCAAATGCATCCCTCATGGATGACATAAAGTCATCTCTCCATCTCTCTCTGCTGCTCTTCTGTCTCCTCTGTCACAGACTTCTCCACTTTTGATGATAAATCAGCTGGTGCAACATGTAAGGATTGGCACAATTTGTTAAGATTTTGAGGAGTTTGAGAAACTAACCTTAAGCATAAAATAAAATTTACTATCAGTAACTTCATAGCACCCGCCCAGCAGTATATAAACTCCGTCATGCTAGCTAGTACGCAGTACCAGTTATTCTAAGCGACTGTAAAAAGTCAGCACAACGAAAACAAACTCCAACTAAACTTGGTTTATATCTGACACAGACAGACAGCAGGTCATAACTTCTTACCTGAAGTTCAGTTCCTCTGCCACTATGAGCGGTGTTGTGCCAAAAAGTGGTTTCCGGTATTTGCCAAAAACTTTATATAACCTTTATTTATGCAGTTAAAAAAATCTCATTAACATTAAAAATGTCTTTTGTAAGAGTAAGTTGGCCAAGAGGACAGCAGAAATGGCAGCAAATATTACAATAGTTCTGTAAAAATATTTTAAGTGGGGATAAAGGACCGGATTGGTTATAATGTAAGTACAATAACACAGAGTTGTAAAGATACTTGAAAAAACAGATAATTTTTTAATTCTATATATAACCCCTTTGTAAACGCTGTTCACCGAAGTCTATTTACCAACATACGTAAAGATATTACACATAAAAAATACACGGAAACATTGGAAATCACTTTTTGGCACAACACCGGCGGCCGCCTCGGGTCTCTCCTCCTCTTGCCTCCCCTTTCCCTTATCCACCTGCTGGCCTCCACCACTTGCTGATGTTGCTAAATCTGTGGAAGCTATGCCATAGCTACCGCCAAACAATTCAGTTATTTTTACACATTTGGCAGCGTCTGCCTGAAGGGCTTGTTTCTTTTTGGCCCTAATTTTTTCTGCACCTCCTTTCCTTTTTTTGTTCTCCATTTTCTTTAGTTCGTCTATAAGATTGCTAAACAAGGGGGAGGGTGCATCCGACCTCCTCGGCTGTAATTGGTCCAGCCCAGAGTCGATCATGACCAATTGGCCAATCCAACACCTTTCATTATTTATACCCTTCCAAAAAAAAAAAATCGATCGGCCCATAAAAACAAAAAATCGCCAGCGGCCCACCGGGCAAATGCCCGGTATGCCCGATGGCCAGTCCAGCTATGGATTTAGGTCAGAGTTCAGCGTTTATGTTGTTATATTTTATATTTTTCCACAGAACCATTTCCATCCTGGGCCACAGCTCTCCTGGTTCTCTTGGGCCTCCTGGTTCTTATTGGGATTTCTGGAGGTCTCATATCTTATTTCCGGCACTATTTCATGTCAGGTGAGTGTCTCCTACTACACTACCCATAATGCCGATGGTCAGCAGGTGTCCTCTGGTGGCTCCTTGACTGTGGCTCACACAAACTTGTTCCAGAAGCTGAAAGAGTTGAGAGTTACAAACAGCTGATACAGAGAGCTGAAGAGAAACTTCCAGGTTTGTTCCAGAAGTCAGAAAACCTCCTTCAGACTCAGTCATTGATCAGTGAAACAGCTCCACAACATGACTTTACTAAACAGTGTGTGTGCTTCACTGCATTGATCTGACACAGAGGCTGCATGTGGACAAGCTGTTCTTCTTCTGTGGTGGTAAACAGCAGCTGACATGGAAACATGTGCTGACAGTAAATGTTGCAGCAGCTTCAGTAAATGTTCCTCCTTGAGTTGTGCTCAGTCATGTGGTGGAGAGCTTCAGATGTTCAGACACATGAGATCTTCATGGTTTCTGTGCTGATGTGTGTGAGACATGGCCGACTGTGGAGGCTCAGTCTGTCTGTGCTTCTTCATCCAACATGTCTGCAGCACTTTACAGGACGCTGCAGACTAGTTACCAAAGAACGAGTCAGGAACACATCAGGAACAAACTGAGACACAATCTGACTGAGACTAGAAGACAAGGAGGGACAGGGAGGTCATGTGACCATCACAGCTGCTGCTGATGTCATCATGTTGTGCTTTGTTGTCCTCAAAGGTTACAAGGTGGAGGTAGATTCAGGGATGGAGTCTGTCCTGCTGCCCTGTAAAGCCACAGTTCGCCTGCCTGCAGATGGTAAAGTGGAGTGGACGGATAAAAATGGAAAGGTCCACGTGTATGAGAACGGCTCTGACAAGCCTGAATACCAGCACCCAGATTTTAAAGCCAGAACCAAGATGAGGAAAAATCTGCTGAAGCTCGGAGACTTCAGTCTGACCCTGAAATACCCGACAATCACAAACACCTACACCTGCACCATCTACAGCAGGGAGGGAAACATCCTGATGAGAAACACGTGAAGCTGACTGTCAAAGGTTAGTGCTGTAGATACACGTCAAAGATCAGAACTCAGTAAATGGTAAACAGACTGGTCCTTATACAGTCCTTTTCACAATAACTAGAAGATGATTTCTAGCAGAAGTGTGAACATCTCCACATCCTTTCTCCATGTTATCATCCAAAGCTGTGTGAAGTTTCAGAGCTCTGCAGCTAACAGAGACTTTCAGTTTGTAACATCGTCTTCAGAACAACAAGATTAAGAAAAAAACAAAACGCATAAAACCGAACATTTCCAATAAAGGAAACAAAAAGGTGGAATAAACTGATGTCTTAGTCAGTTCGTTAAATCTTTTGGATTTTCAGACAACAACATTCTTGTAGGTTATTTACC